ATAAATTTAACATTAAGTAAAAAACATAAATATAAAATACGTTAATATCCAAATAAATAGAAACATAATTAAAAAAAGTACAAATTATAAACAAAATTTTATACTCTTTTACAATTGTAAAAATTGAAAAGATTTAGAAATTATAAACAAAATTTTAAATTTTTATCTTGATCTCCAGGAATACCCAAAAGAGGGCTGCCACTAGCCTCCCAAGCTCTTTTAATTCTGAATTTGGATGGGTATTTATAAGGTTTTAGAAACCCTAATTGGAATAGAACTAGGATTTGAAACAGAACTAGGATTTGAAATAGAATAAGAAACTTGAATGTTGAACGCTGAACGTATAGTACTGACACCCTGAATTACGTGTCGACACAAAACAGGAAACAAAAAATTTGATTTTGAACTATTAACCCATGGTGTCGACACCCATATTATGTGTTTAAGAATAAACCAAGCAAAATGAAGACGACAACCTAGACGACAACCCAGCAAAATGAAGACAACAACCTTGGCAAGTGCACGCCACTCAAGAAGGTAGGTTTTTAAGAATAAAATTGCAACTCACTTATAAAGGTAGAATTGTAAGGGAATTTGAAATTTAGAATTAAAATTTAGATATATAATTAAAAAAAAAAGAAAAAATAAATTAGGAAATATAAGATATGCTATTTTATTTTTAATTAAATCAACAGAGTTATTATCTTGTAAAATAAGAAAAAGAAAATTTGAAATATTATAAAAATATTATATTATTTAATTAAGTTATCTTATAATCGGATTTTTTTTTATAATCGGGCGGTTCGGGCAATTTGAAAGTAAAACCACAAACCAAACCAATTATATCAGTTTTAAATTTTTATAATCCAAGCCAACCCAATTTTATATCGGTTTGGTTTGATTTTTAATCGGATTGGATCAGTTTAGGTCAGATCAATCGGATTGGATCGGATATGAACACCCCTACTCAGTGGTGTACTACCTCGATCTGATTTCAAATCTAATTATTACTAACATTAAATCTTATTCTTAATATGTAGTTGTAATTAGCTTGTTTAAAAAAGGTTAAATCCTTATTTTGGTCCTTCTACTTTGACAAAAAAAAATCTTTTTTTAGTTTATCTACTTAAAAAAATTCTTTTTAATCCTTAAAATTTAAAATTCAGCTCATTTTTAGTCTCTTCATTAAATTTTACATACTTTGCATGTTAGATAATGAAAATTTTAAAATAAAAAGACCAAAAAGA